TATGTCTGGGTGTTCCTGTATTGGGTCCATATATATTTAGGATTGTTAGCTCTTCTTGTTGTATTGATCCTTTTACCATTATGTAATGACCTTCTTTATCTCTTTTGATCTTTGTTGTTTTAAAGTCTATTTTATCAGAGATGAGAATTGCAACTCCTGCTTTTTTTTGCTTTCCATTTGCTTGGCAAATCTTCCTCCATCCTTTTGTGTATTTTGAGCCTTTGTGTATCCTTGCATGTGAGATGGGTTTCCTGGATACAGCACACCGATGGGTTTTGGTTTTATATCCAATTTGCCGGTCTGTGTCTTTTGATTGGTGCATGTAGGCCATTTACATTTAGGGTTAATATTGTTATGTGTGAATTTGATACTGCCATTTTGATGCTAGCTGGCTGTTTTGCCCGTTAGTTGATGCAGATTCTTCATTTTGTTGATGCTCTTTAGCATTTGGTATGTTTTTGGAATGGCTGGTACTGATTGTTCCTTTCTATGTGTAGTGCCTCTTTCAGGAGCTCTTGTAAAGCAGGCCTGGTGGTGACAAAATCTCTGAGTACTTGCTTGTTTGCAAAGGATTTTATTTTATTTTTTCCACTTATGAAGCTCAGTTTGTCTGGATATGAAATTCTGGGTTGAAAGTTCTTTTCTTTAAGGATGTTGAATATTGGCCCCCACTCTCTTCTGGCTTGTAGAGTTTCTGCTGAGAGATCTGCTGTGAGTCTGATGGGCTTCCCTTTGTGGGTGACCCGACCTTTCTCTCTGGCTGCCCTTAGTATTTTCTCCTTCATTTCAATCCTGGTGAATCTGATGATTATGTGCCTTGGGTTTGCTCTTCTTGTGAAATATCTTTGTGGTGTTCTCTGTATTTCCTGGATTTGAATATTGGCCTGCCTTGCTAGGTTGGGGAAATTTTCCTGGATAATATCCTGAAGAGTATTTTCCGGCTTGGATTTATTCTCTTCGTCACATTCAGCTACACCTATCAAACGTAGGTTAGGTCTCTTCACATCGTCCCACATTTCTTGGAGACTTTGTTCATTCCTTTTTGCACTTTTTTCTCTAATCTTGGTTTCTCATTTTATTTCATCGAGTTGATCTTCGACTTCTGATATTCTTTCTTCTGCTTGGTCAATTCGGCTGTTGAAACTTGTGCATGCTTCGCGAAGTTCTCGTGTTGTGTTTTTCAGCTCCTTCAATTCATTCATATTCCTCTCTAAGTTGTCCATTCTTGTTATCATTTCCTCGAATCTTTTTTCAAATCTTTTTTCAAGGTTCTTAGTTTCTTTGCATTGATTTAGAACATGTTCTTTTAGCTCACAGAAGTTTCTCATTACCCATCTTCTGAAGTCTGATTCCATCATTTCATCACACTTATTCTCCATCCAGCTTTGTTCCCTTGCTGGTGAGGAGTTTTGTTCCTTTGTAGGAGGCAAGGTGTTTTGGTTTCGGGTGTTTTCCTCCTTTTTGCGCTGGTTTCTTCCCATCTTTGTGGGTTTATCCACCTGTTGTCTGAGTAGTTGCTGACTTTTCGATTGGGTCTCTGAGTGGATGCCCAGATTGTTGATGATGAAGTATTTTTGTTACTTAGTTTTCCTTCTAACAATCTAGCCCCTCTGCTGTAGGACTGCTGAGGTCCACTCCAGGCCCTGCTTGTCTGGGGTGCACCCGTAGCAGCTGCAGAACAGTAAGGGATGCTACCAGTTTCTTCTTCTGCTATCTTTGTCCCAGAATGATGCCCGCCAAATGTCAGTCTGATCAGTCCTTTTTGAGGTGACTCTTTGGATATACAGGGGTCCGGGAGCTGCTTGAGGAGGTAGTCTGTACTTTATAGGAGCTCAAGTGCTGAGCTGTGAGCTCTGTTGATCATTCAGGACTGTTAGGCTGGTACTTAAGTCTGCTGCAGCAGAACTCATAAAACTCCTTTTTTTCTCAGACGCTCTGTCTCGGGGAGTTAGGGCTTTCTTTATGAGTATCCGTTGCACTGTCCTGCCCAGCTAGGAGGCAGTCTAGTCACTATTTGCCTGCCGAGGCTCCGCCCTGCTGCCGTGGGCTCTGCCCTGCTGCCGTGGGCTCTGCCCTGCTGCCATGGGCTCTGCCCTGCTGTCATGGACTCCGCCCTGTTGGCGGAGCCTCTCTGTTATGGCGGGTTGCCTCAGCAATGGCAGGCTGTGTCAGCAACAGGAGTGTACCTCAGTAGGGGTGGAATGCCTTGGTAATGGCGGACGCCCCCCCCCCACCGAGCTGCACGGTCCTGGGTTCAGCTATGCCCGCAGTGAAACTCAACCCCAAGCATTTCGAATCGCTGTTTTGTTTGTCCCTGTGGGGGTGGGACCTGCCGAGCCTGATCACCTGGCTCCCTGCCTCAGAGCCCTTTTTCTTTAAGTTGAACAGTTGACTCTCTCCCAGGTGTTTTAGTCGCCTGCTGATAGGGCACCGGGATCTGTGTGATTTCCTGTGCAGCAACCCACTGCGTCGGCTCAAACGTCGCTTCCCAGGAATCTCCTGGTCTGGCTCACTGTCCAAGTCCCATTTAATCAGATGGATATGCTAATCTGCCCTCCCAAGTCTCAGATTGCCGGTTTAACAGGGCACCCAGACCAGTGCGTTTTGTGCGGAGTTCTGCTGCACTGCGACGCCGGCCGAAATGGCCACGCGAGCCGAAACAGCTGCATTGGCGTCCCATGTCTCTCCAACACCTGGGAATTTCCCCATTCTGTGGGCAACAAAGATCTGTCTGGAAATGCAGATTGCACTCACCCTCTGCGTCTTCACTGAGAGCTGCAATCCTGATTTGCTCCTACTGCGCCATCTTCTTTTCTCCCTCCCCTACACTTATATTTTTAACCTGTATCCTTGATTTGCTAATGCCACTTCCCACCTTTTTGAACAGTAAAAAGACCTTAGAAAATCTTAACTCCAGCTCTAACTCCCATATTACTTGTTACTGTTGTTCCATATTTTAGAATTACCTTTTTTTAACTTCCAATATTGTCATTATTATGAGTTATTCAGGGATATTTACATTTGCCACCATGCCAATTGCTTTAGTCACCATTTATTTTGCCTCTTGGTTCTTCTTCTTTTTAAAATATATCTTCTAGAAGTGTCTTCAGGCCGGGTGTGATGGCTCATACCTGTAATCTTAGCACTTTGGGAGGCTGAGGTGGGTGGATCACCTGAGGTCAGGAGTTTGAGACCAGCCTGGCCAACATGGTGAAACCTTGTTTCTTCTAAAAATACAAAAATTATCCAAGTGTAGTGGCGCACGCCTGTAATCCCAGCCACTCGGGAGGCTGAGGCAGGAGAATCGCTTGAGCCAGGGAGGCAGAGGTTGCAGTGAGCCAAGATCATGTGATTGTACTCCAGCCCGGGGGACAGAGTGAGACTCTGTCTCAAAAAAAAAAGAGAAAGAAAGAAGCGAGTGCCTTCATTGAGGAGTATTGATGGAAAACCCTATCAGTTTTTTTATTTGTCTGAGAAGGGTTATTTTCACCCTCATTTAAAAAGTGTTTTTATTTCAAACATATATAAATGTGTAGACAGACTAAACTCCAACATATATCAACTCATGGCCAATCTTGCTTCAATCTGTACCTCCATCAATTTTTCCCCACCCGCAAATTTAAAAGATAAGTACTGTCTCTTTTTTAAAAAAAAAATAAGGATACTACAATTAAATATTTAGAAATTTGCAATTCCTTGTATCAGGTATATAGTCATCACTCATGTTTCCCTGATTGCCTTGGGGTTTTTCGGTTAGTTATTTTGTTTAGTGAGGAGCAAATGAGGTCCATACATTGCATTTGGTTGCGTTATCTGACATCTCCCTTTATCTATAGGTTTTCACCTCCCGTTTTTCCCTTCTTGCAGTTATTTCGGGAGGAAAGTGGGTTATTCATTCACAAGCTGGATTTTGCTGATTGCATTCATGTGGTGTCCTCAAGCTTATTACTCTGTCTCCTTTATTTCCTGAAAACTGATTTGTAGGTATAGAGGCTTATTCAGATTTGGGTTTGATTTCTCCGGTAAGGATGCTTCATTGGTGGTATGTGTCTTTCCACTAGGAGGCAGGTTCAGCCTGGCTGTCTCCCTTTGCGATGCTGAGATGGATCAGTGGATTTCAATGTTGTCAGTCTTGTCTATACATTACATGTAATTTTCCATCAGTTTTTCACCAGCCAGGTGTTTCTACCATTGGTTAGTTAGGTCTATCATTTCATTAGGGATTATGAAATAGTTATATCTAGTTCTGTCATTCCTTCTTCATGTATTACCTGGAAGGCTTTCAAGAGAAACCTCCTTTCACCAACTATGTATTTACCCTGAAGTCCAGTTTATACAGGAAAGTCTTGATTGTTTCCTCTTCCCATTATTTTTAACTAGTTTTAAAAATAATGTGTTGGTTCTCTAGTATCTTTTAAATATAACCAATGAGGTCTTTTAAAAATATATCATTATGAACTCATAGATTTTAAAATACTTTGTGTGTTTCCATCACACATTGCAGGTGTTTTATTTTGTTTTTTGATGCTCAAATTGTCCCATCTTTGGTTAGAGGCATCTCTCAGATGCGCTCCTGGTCCCTTTAATACTCTCCCTTTGACAGTTTCCTTGCTTTCTAGTATGAACACATGTCTCAGGCTCACCTTGCCTGGGCTGTGAAACAGAAGGAGGAAGAGATCTAGCTCAGTGGGTCTTTCAAACTGTGAGCTCCTTGAGGGCAAAATGCAAGTTTTTTCTTTCTGGTGTTTTTTACATGGAACCTGCCTGGCTCAGGGCTAGGCTCTGGGTCTAGGGATGGGCTCCTAGATACTTGTGGCTCACTAGAGAGGCAGGCGCAGAGAAGGCTGAGATGTGGAAGCTTGACAAGGTGTCTCTCTGTCTGAAAATGCTGGGGCCTCCTCCCCACAGGGATTAGTAGGAGCGAAGCTTGACACCTCAACCCTTAAACCCTTTGTTTCCTCCATTCTGTGTCTCCACCCTTCTCCCTGACACTTTCCTAGGTCAGAACCATCCAGTCCTGGACATGGGACCGCATCGGCGGCTGCAGTGGACGTGGCTGGGCCGGGCTGAGCTGCAGTTTGGGAACCAGACTCTGCATGTGTCCACCGTGCAGATGTGGCTGCTGCTGAATTTCAATCAGAAAGAGGTGCTTCAGCCCTTAGCCTCTCTCTATCTTCTCTACCACCTTGTCTGTCTGTTCTCCTGAACACTGTTCCTCTTTTCAACCTTCCTCCCCTCTTCCTTTTCTCTCCTTTGACTCCTGACTGGGCGTTTCTCCTCATCAGGAGGTGTCAGTAGAGACCTTGCTGAAGGATTCCAACCTCTCCCCAGAGCTGCTGCTCCAGGCACTTGTGCCCCTCACCTCGGGGAATGGCCCTTTGACCCTGCATGAGGGCCAGGACTTTCCACACAGGGGTAGGTCAATGAGGGCTGGGCTGGGCCTCTGCTGCTGGTTGGGGGGTCACTCTCAGGATGGGGGAACTGTAGTAGGGAGTGGGAATGAGGTCATCTTAGTCCCCATTCATCTGTCCCTCTGCCTTCTCCGGTATCTGACTGGGAGCGGGTTCCAGGTGTGCTTCGGCTTCATGAGCCTGGTCCCCAGCGCAGTGGAGAGGCCCTGTGGCTGATACCTCCCCAGGCGTACCTGAACGTAGCAAAGGATGAGGGCCGAACCCTGGAACAAAAGAGGAATCTCTTGAGCTGTCTTCTTGTTCGTATTCTCAAAGCCCACGGGGAAAAGGGCCTCCACATTGATCAGCTGGTTTGTCTGGTAGGCAGAGGGGACCATGACGTTGGGGGAGGGAGGGAGTGAGTCATGCTTGGGGTTGGGGATGAGCACAGTGCACTCTTTCAATATGAGACCTCTGTGGAGTGACATTTCCATCTGGGTTTTATGTCCTGACAGAGCAGATAGACAGAAGGTAAAGATAAGACAGGAGTATTGACCATTTGCCCTATTCTAAGAGTTTGTATGATTAAATCATTTAATTCAGCTGGGCACAGTGGCTCGTATCTATAATCCCAGCACTCTGGCATGCCGAGGCAGGTGGATCACTTGAGGCCAGCAGTTTGAGACCAGCCTGGCCAACATGGCAAAACCCCGTGTCTACTAAAAATATAAAAATTAGTTGGGCCTGATGGCACATGCCTGTAATCCCAGCTACTTAGGAGGCTGAGGCATAAGAATCGCTTCAACTCAGGAGGTAGAGATTACAGTGAGCCAAGATTGTGCCACTGTACTCCAGCCTGGGCAATGGAGCAGGACTCTGTCTCAAAAAGGAAAAAAAATCATTTAATCTTTACAACAATCCTATAAATATTATTTTATCTCATTTGACAGATAAGAACAGTGAAGTATGAGAAACTTAATAGTGGCCAGGTAGGCATAGTGGCTCATGCCTATAATCCCAGCACTTTGGGAGGCCGAGGTGGGCGGATCACTTGAGGTCAGGAGTTTGTGACCAGCCTGGCCAACATGGTGAATCCCCGTCTCGACTAAAATATAAAATTAGCAGGGCATGGTGGCACATACTAGTAGTCCCAGCTACTTGGGAGGCTGACGCAGGAGAATCACTTGAACCCACGAGGTGGAGATTGCAGTAAGAGATGGTGCCACTGTACTCCAGCCTGAGCAAGAGTGAGACTCTGTCCAAAAAAGAGAGAGAGAGAGAGAGAGAGAGAGAGAGAGAGAGAGAGAGAGAGAGGAACTTAGTAACTAATTCATAATCACACAGCTAGTAAGTGGCAGAGCAGCTTACTAGCTACTATGGCTCATGTGGGAGGATCGCTTGAGCCCAGGAGTTTGAGGCTGCAGTGGGCTATGATCATGCCACTGCACTCTAGCCTGGGTAATAGAGCAAGATTGTCTCTTTAAAAAAAAAATTTACTTTTTAGAGCTAAAAAAAGAAGGGAAAAATAAGTGGCAGAGCCAAGCATTGAGCCCAGGTAGGTTGCTCCCTAGGTAAAATTGGCCTTATTGTTTCTTTCCTCCTATCCAGGTGCTGGAGGCCTGGCAGAAGGGTCCAAATCCTCCTGGAAGCCTGGGCCACGCTGTTGCTGGAGGTGTGGCCTGTACCAGTACAGATGTCCTCTCTTGCATCCTGCACCTCTTGGGACAGGGCTACGTGAAACGGCGTGATGACCGGCCCCAGATCCTGATGTATGCCGCTCCAGAACCCATGGGGCCCTGCTGGGGTCAGGCGGATGTCCCTTTCTGTGGCAGCCAGAGCAAGACCTCCAAGCCTAGGTAGCCACCCCACCTGACCCCTTGCCATGAGGTGGAAGAGGTTGTCATGCCAAAGCTGAGATCCCTTGTAGAAAAACACTTCCCTTCTTTCTTTGTCTAATCCCCCTTTCCTTATCCCTGTTATTTCCCTGACTTTGGTAGTCCTCATTGAGCCTCCCAGCACCACCACCCCTTTCTAGTCAGGGGCCTTGCTCTCCCCATCCCCCTATGGCCAGCCCTGTATAGACGTCTGCAATTTGCAGGAGATACCCTGCAAATGTGTATTGAGTGCTATGTACTCTACTCAGTGAAATATACAAACTTCCAGGAATTTGTTCTACAGAGGAATTTGCCATAGGATTTCTCTAATCAGCCAGCACCCCTGAAGCTTTTTAATGTTCCCTGGAAGCTGTTATAGCCCTGCTTTTCATGCCTGGTGTTTGCATCACGTGTAAAGTGAATTATCTCCAGCCATCTTTCTCAAACCTCAACATGGTGCTAGTGCTAAAATGCAGATGTTAACAGCAGAGCTCTCTGTGATGCCTGTGCTGCTGGTCCACAGGCCACACTTGAGCAGTAAGGATGGAGATGACTGCTCTCACCATAGGTGCTGCCACCATTTGTGGTGGGATCTACAGTGGGACTATCCCATCCGCTATTGGTCTCTTAGCACCCTTGACCCCTAGATAACTATTGTGTCCCTAATCATTGTGACAGCCAGCCCCACCCTGAGATTTACAAGTGCTTCTGTGGAGGACCTGCTCTGATGGTTGGTTTGGGTGGTTATCCTGAGGCTGGTTAGGCAAGCAAGCAAGTATGCGCAAGTAGGGAGCTAGGGGCCAGGTGGGGTTCAGATAGTAGGTTGGATAAGCAGGGCAGGAATACTGACTTCTGTCTCTTCCTTCCCCACAAGCCCAGAAGCTGTGGCTACCCTGGCATCTCTACAGTTGCCTGCAGGCCGCACCATGAGCCCCCAGGAAGTGGAAGGCTTGATGGAGCAGACAGTGCGTCAGGTGCAGGAGACACTGAACTTAGAGCCAGATGTCGCTCAGCACCTTCTGGCTCATTCCCACTGGGGCACCGAACAGCTGCTGCAGAACTACAGTGAGGACCCTGAGCCACTGCTGCTGGCTGCTGGGCTGTCTGTACCCCAGGCCCAGGCTGCACCTGCACGACCAGACCACTGCCCCGTCTGTGTGAGCCCCCTGGGGTGTGATGACGACTTGCCCTCTCTCTGCTGTATGCACTACTGCTGTAAGGTGAGGCCCCACCAGCGTTGCTCCTGCCCCGGGCTTTCTGCCCTACCATAACAAAATTCCCTGGGAATTATTGGGTTCTAGCCCAGCACTGCCATTTCATAACCTGGGCAGTATTGGATTCGTCTCTTGGTCCTTCTTAAACTAGTTTTGTCATCTGTAAGTGGTACCACCTGCCTTTGACAGTCTGAAGGGTGGGGGTTAGGATCCAGCTATATATATCAGTGGTTCTCCAGCTTCATAGTGTAATCACTGGAAGCTTTTATAAGTCCTAATGCCCAGATGATACCTCAGACCAATTAAACCAGAACCTCTGGGAGTGAGAAATCTGGAGGAAGTTTTAAAGCCTTCCCATGAGATTCCCATTATCAGCCAAGTTAGAACTAAGAGATATACGTGCAAAATAGATGTCAAGGCACTTTGTGAAGTGTTTGCAAACGTGTTATTAGATTGGCGATAACTCCAGCTTGCGGTTGCCTTATCACCATTTAAGTCCCCTCATCTCAGCACACTATCACTGCTTTTATCATATATGCTCATTTAATACAAAAAAAATTGTAAATGGGCCTGGTGAGGTGGTATGCACGCCTATAATTACAGCACTTTGGGAGGCCAAGGTGGTCAGATCACTTGACCCCAGAAGTTCCAGACCAGCCTGGGCAATATGGCAAGACCCTGTCTCTACAAAAAAAATACAAAAATAAGCTGGGCATAGTGGTGCACACCTGTAGTCCCAGCTACTGAGGAGCAACCTCAGGGAGGATGACCTGAGCCTGGGAGGCGGGAGGCTGCAGTGAGCCAGTATCTCACCATTGCACTTCAGCCAAGAGGATAGAATGAGATCCTGCCTCAGGGTCTTCTTGCTCTGTAGGCTTGCTTCTATATAGGGGGACACAGAGAAGCTTGCAGATTGGGAGTGAGTCATCTTCAAAGGCAGAGAGAGTGGGGCTGAGGTGCAGAGAACCTGGAGCTCTGAGTTCAATATTCCCTGCCTCGCAGCTCTTTAGAACTGGTGCCAAGCACAAACACATCAGCTTAGCAGGAGAGGCACTCCTGGTTGCCGTCAGTCCCAGCTGCCTCTCTCAACAGCGTTTCCCCACTGGTGGGTGATAGACGTGTGTGCTCACGTGTATGTGTGTACTCTTTTTCTCTTTCCCTTTGGCTCTGTTTCTGGCCTCTCTTCTCACATAGTTGCTTATGCTCCCTATTCCCAAGATCTTAATTATTTCCTTTACACTTTCATTTTTTCATTCAACTAATATTTTTCATGGATTTATGTACGTAGCACTGGGTGCTATATGAGGTACTGAAAAAAATCCCAGCAAGAAATGACCAGAGAACTAATAATATTGATGGGAGCTCACTCTGAGCCAGGCATTGTGCTGTTTACATGCATTATTTTACTTCTCATACTAGTTCTATGAGGTGGATATTTTTGTTATTCCTAATTTACACGACAGAGGGAGACACTCGGAGGTGAAGTAATTTGCCCAAGGTCAGGATTTGAATTTTGGCAGTCTCAAGCAATCCTCCCACCTTGACCCCCAAAAAGTGCTGGTATTTTAGGCAGGGGCCACCACACCCAGGCTGACAGCGGATTTTCTTTATGAGAAGCCATGGTGGGTTTAAGCAAAATAGTGATATGATCTGGTTTACATTTTTAAAAAGATCGCTTTGGCCATTGTATGGAGGAAAGGGTTGGATGGAGCAAGAGTGGAAGCAGGGAGGCCCATTTGGTGACTGTGGTACAAGAGGCACGAGATGGTGGTAGTTTGGATTGGGGCAGTGGCAGTGAGACAGGGTGGATAGGGACAAGTTTGGAAGTGGAGCTGACGAGATTAGGTGGGTTAGATGTAGGGGCTTCAAACAAGGGAATCAAGGATGGTTCCTGTGCTTTTGACCTGAGCATCTGGGTGGATGGCATGTGTCATCTTTACTCTGTTGTGGCCCTATGAAGTTTGAGCTGCTTGTTGGACATCTGTGTGGAACTGGCAGGTAGACAGTGGATTTCTGAATGTGGAATGAAGTGGAGAAGCCTTGGTGGCCTCACCCAAGGAGAAAGAAGCAGACCAGGGTACCAAGCCTGTAGAGATATAGAGATGGGCAGGTCTCAGGAGTATGAGACCAGATAGACAATGTAGCAAGACCCTATCTCTACAAAGAATAGAAAAAAAATTTACCCAGGCATGGGAGTGCACACTTGTAGTCCTAGCTGCTCAGGAGGCTGAGGTGGGAGGATGCCTTGAGTCTGGGAGATCGAGGCTGCGGTGAGCCATGGCCGTGGTGAGCCTTGATTGTGCCACTGTACTCCAGCGTGGGTGACAGAGAGAGACCCTGTCTAAAAAGAGAGAGAGAGAGAGACGAGGGGCCTGAAAACAAGGCAGATGAACAGGCTGATTGAAAAGCCCCCGCCGAGGAGGAGGCTGTGCAGCACTGTAAAAGAAGCCGCCGGATGGTGTCCAGGGTGAGCCCGACCAGTTGGGTTGGACAACAGTCATGAGAGCAGCTGGGGGTCTCCAGACTGAGATGCCAGGGCAGAAGGGAACACTGAGGCGCTGGTGTGCCTGTAAGAGTAGGGTCTGAATTCAGAGAACATTTTCCCTATTCTATCTCAAAAATGCAAGAATTTGCATTCGACTTCCCAACTTTGTCTGGGTTAGTTTCAATGCAAAAAGGGTTTTGCTTACTTTGGGCTGGTACTTTGAGTAAAAATGATCCAGTCAAGTGCTTCACATGGATGCTGCAGCTTTGATACCACAGACACACAGTCACCTTGGGTTTAGACCGTCATTTTGGAAAGCATGGCCATAGGCAGTGTGAGAAGCAGGGGTGGTTCATGGAGTATTGTAGGAGGCTCAGACGGCCGCGACGGCTGCTCGTGTGTGGAATAGACCAAATGGATGCTGTGGCGAGAGACCGGGAGAGGATGCCGTGGATCAGAACAGGCTCTCACAGTGGTTTAGGGATGAGGGGATAATGGCCTGATTTAGGATGGGAGAGTAACACAGGAGCAAGAGAATGACATGAAGGTTCCAACACTGGTGACGAGGGGACAGTGGTGCAGGTTGATCAGGGTTTGGGGGACGCAATGGGCAAGGCAGTTTGATAGAGAAGATGCCGGGTCTGTTGGAGGCATGAGTCGGAGATGGGAGCATCCTGACAGTCACTGGAGATCAGCCACTGGAGCTGGGAGGAGAGACCAGAGCCGTGTTGTCAGCCACCCAGGTGACCCATCCCAGGCCTCCTTTCTCTCGGATCTTCCTGCTCTCTGCATATCTTAGAATTTGAATCTTTCTTCTTTTTCATGATTATTTTTATTTTATTTTACTGTCCATCCCAACAGTAATTATGATTAGGCAAACACATAGCCTACCCCATCCTCAAAGACAACTGTAATTTTGGGCCAGTCTCAGCGAAGCTGGAGAGAGGAGAGTCAGCACGGGTTGATATAGAGGCAGGCTTGTCTCTGGCCTTCCACATTGTAATGGCGGGGAGAGGGAGGAGGGATGATAGCTTTGTTACCAGGACACTCCCCCTGTGCTGCTCCCACACTGTCTCAGAGCAGCCCCTCCTTTTGTCCATCCCAGTCTTGCTGGAACGAGTACCTGACAACTCGGATCGAGCAGAACCTTGTGTTGAATTGTACCTGCCCCATTGCCGACTGCCCCGCCCAGCCCACCGGAGCCTTCATTCGTGCCATTGTCTCCTCACCAGAGGTCATCTCTAAGGTATCCCCTCTCGGCTGAGAGGCTACAGTGCAGAACCAAAGGGATGTGCCCCAGGGAGTGGGCCAGGGTCTGGAGGTGTGGCATCCTGGAGAGCCATACCCTTACCTCATGGCACCTGCGTCTCCACAGTATGAGAAGGCACTCCTGCGTGGCTATGTGGAGAGCTGCTCCAACCTGACATGGTGCACCAACCCCCAGGGCTGTGACCGAATCCTGTGCCGCCAGGGCCTGGGCTGTGGGACCACCTGCTCCAAGTGTGGCTGGGCCTCTTGCTTCAACTGTAGCTTCCCAGAGGTGGGTGCCCCACACCGGCCCTGACCCTGAGCAATGACTCACACTCCTTCCCTGCGTAACATCCCCTCCCTGCCACACACACAGACTGTGACTTGGCCCTCCTCAGCCTCTGCCACCCAGCTGAGCTCTGTCCCTCTTCCTGGAGCCCTCCAAATGTGACCTGTGCCTGCTCCTCTACTCCTGTGTGCACCAGCCATGCTGCCCTGAGGGCTCAGCTGTGTCCCCACCATGACCTCTTGCCCTAGGCACACTACCCTGCCAGCTGTGGCCACATGTCTCAGTGGGTCGATGACGGCGGCTACTACGATGGCATGAGTGTGGAGGCGCAGAGCAAGCACCTGGCCAAGCTCATCTCTAAGCGCTGTCCCAGCTGCCAGGCTCCCATCGAGAAGAACGAGGGGTGCCTGCAGTAAGAAGTGGGGTGCTGTGGGGAGCCAGAGGGCAAGGGGGAGGGAGGAGGCCTGGCAGAAGAAGGGAGGAATGGGCTTAGCATAAAGCTCAGCAAAAGAGGGCAGTTCCTCAGCTGCCCCTCACATGGCAGCCTCCATAGTGACTTCCTGGATCATGTTCCTTTCCCACTTGTAAATCCACACTGACTGGGGGAATTCAAAAGCAGGGGTGCATTCAGCAGGGCTGGGTATGACCAAGGAGACCATCAGAGCAGGAGCAGAGGCCACGGCAGCAGCAGCAGTGCCTCTGGGCCTTAGCATTCCTGGCACGGCCCTGCCCAGAGGCAGGAGTCCCTGACCAGCTAGCTTCCTCTGCAGCATGACCTGCGCCAAATGTAACCATGGATTCTGCTGGCGCTGCCTCAAGTCCTGGAAGCCAAATCACAAAGACTATTACAACTGCTCTGCCATGGTAAGGCTCTGGGCACCAGGGGAGGGCAGTGGCCCAGAGCAGTCAGGGAGGGGTGCTGCTGCCAGGTCCCGGGCAGACAGGGCTCCGTGTATAGTGCAGCATTCTGGCTGCTGGGACAGAGGCTCAGTGCAGGGAAGACAGAGCCACCTGGGCCTGCAGATGCTGGAAAGTCTGTAGAACAGGACTTTGCACGCCGAGGTGGCTATGGAAAGGCTGGGGAGGGCTGGGCACTCTCAGGAGGCAGCAGGGCAGAGCAGGAAAGAGCAGGGACCCTGCAGGTGGAGCCTGGCTCTGCTGCTTAGCATGTGGCTTTGAGCAAGTCTGTTTACTTCTCAACAGCCTCTGCAAAAGGGGATGAATAATATGAGCTACCCCACACAGTTATGAGGATTGAAGAAGATAATTGGGGGAGGTGTAGAAAGGCCTCCATGAATGCTGGCTTTTCTTATTATTAACTCCCTCCTGTCCAAACCAAACCCTACTAGCCCTCTCAACTTGTCCTCGCTAGGTAAGCAAGGCAGCTCGCCAAGAGAAGCGGTTTCAGGACTATAACGAGAGGTGCACTTTCCATCACCAGGCACGGGTGAGCTGGGAGGAAACAGTGGGTAGATGCCTGCAGAAGCAGGGTGGGGTGGAGGGGGGCTGAAGGGGTAGAGTGCTGACTGGGATGGGGTGCTGTTTTACATCTGACTGGGCGGTGGTGCTGATACACCTTCCTGCACAGGAGTTTGCTGTGAACTTGCGGAACCGGGTGTCTGCCATCCATGAAGTGCCCCCGCCCAGATCATTCACCTTCCTCAATGATGCCTGCCAGGGACTGGAGCAGGCTCGGAAGGTGGTAGCGGGTGGGGGAAAAGGGCAGGGGAGGGGTGTGCCAAAGGGGTCTGGGGGGCTTGGCTGCTTTAAACAGACTTGCCTGGAGGGAATGAGGAGAGGGCAGGTGGGAGAGCTGACGGGAGCCCCTGCAGGTGCTGGCCTATGCCTGCGTGTACAGCTTCTACAACCAGGACGCGGAGTACATGGACGTGGTGGAGCAGCAGACAGAGAACCTGGAACTGCACACCAATGCCCTGCAGATCCTCCTGGGTGAGCCGCCCCTGCCGGCCAGGCCCTCCTCCTGCCTCCTCCTCTCTGCTGCACATCCTGTCCTCTCCCAGACAGGTCAAGTGCACCCCACTTTCCCTCTGTCCTCTTCCTCTTCATTCTTTGTGGCCTTCTCACCACCTGGCTTTTAAAGTTCAAGTCGAAAGCCTAGGTTGTAACGTGCTCAAGGGCACAGATGTTCGTGGCTGTTTGTGCTTTCTGGTCTCTACCCTGCTCCGCTAGGGAGCTTCATGAGTGTCTAGAGCTGCACCTGGCACTTGGCAGATGTTCCATAGGTGTTTGTTGGAGGAGGGAGTAGATGAGGATGAGAAGGCAGGGAGCCTCTGTGCCTGCCCCCTCTGCAGAGGAGACCCTGCTGCGGTGCAGAGACCTGGCCTCCTCCCTGCGTCTCCTTCGGGCCGACTGCCTCAGCACAGGCATGGAGCTGCTCCGGCGGATCCAGGAGAGGCTGCTTGCCATTCTGCAGCATTCCACCCAGGTACCCCCCAGACCCCTTCTGCTCCTGCGTGCCTCGCGAGTTGTAGTCCTCTTGGCCCAGCACAGCCCCTGCCCTGGGGCAAGTCCAGAAGGAAAGGCAGCAGAGTGGGTGAATGGCTGTTAGGAGACCTGGGCACACACCCCAGTTCCTGGATGATGCTGCCGGCCCCTATCACTTCACTTCCTGGGAATTCCCACAAATAAAGAGGTTGGCTAGCCTACATCAAGAGTATTTGGTCAGGTGCCTATCAGAATCATATGGGGAACTTTTCCAGACCACACTTTCCAGATATGGGTTTGAAATCCTAGGAGTGGGCATCAGGGAATTGGGCTCACTGGAGCAAGGGCTCTCCCAGGCTCTTTCCAGCTCTAATGCACTGATGCTGAGTCTAAACTGAATCCTGTCCTCAGGTTGCTTACTGACTGGTAAGTCATAAAAAGACATAAATAGATTCTGTAAGCTCCTAAGCACAGGGTGGTGTGCCTGACCCTGGTACCCTGTATCCCTGGAGACCATCTGAGTTAACTGACATAGGCAGTGGTGTGTGAAGTGCCATGCTGAGAGGGGAGCAGTCCTAGCAGGAGCCTGGCCCTCACGGAGCATCAATGGATGGAATGCTGGCTCCAAAGGCCCCACACCCTCTACTCTCCTACTCCCCAAATTCTTCTGTCTGCTCACCAGGATTTCCGGGTTGGTCTCCAGAGTCCATCAGTAGAGGCCTGGGAGGCAAAAGGACCCAACGTGCCCGGCAGTCAGTAAGTGGGGTGAGCAGAGCCACAGAGGAGGCAGTGGGACATGGTAGCCTCCTCTGGGCTGAGTGTGGTGGCTCTCCCTAGGCCCCAGGCCTCCTCAGGGCCAGAGCTGGAGGAGGAGGAGGAGGAGGAGGAAGATGATGAGGATGATGTGCCCGAGTGGCAGCAGGATGAGTTTGATGAGGAGCTGGACAATGACAGCTTCTCCTACAATGAGTCTGAGAACCTGGACCAAGAGACTTTCTTCTTTGGTGATGAGGAGGAGGATGAAGATGAGGCCTATGACTGAGGGGGCAGATGCAGGAAACACCTAGAGCCGCCTGGAGCTGAGGGGGCGGGAGCTGCGCCTGTCGTGGGGAGGAGAATTCCCAGCGTCTGCAGTGCCTCCTTCTGTTGACTGAATAAAGCTAAGTTCTCTTTCTCACACACGTCTCTGGGAGAAGGCTGACAGCTTCACCAGGGGCCAGCCAGTTTCCAGTGCCCTGGCCCACAGCCACCCACACCCCTCATCTTTACTGTTACCCTTACTGAAGGGTACTGTTTCCTTTAGACCTTAGGACTCTTCTCCTCCAAGAAGGCTCAGAGCAGACCCACTTGACCTAAGCTGATAAAGGGACATAAAGGTTGGCATGGAAAGGGCCAGGCGCAGCCCAGTTCAGAGGAGACAGAGAGAGGGATGGTCACCCCCAGGAGCAGTCTTCCTCCCAACTCTTTTTTTTTTCCCTGAGATGGAGTTTCGCTTTTGTCACCCAGGCTGGAGTGCAATGGTGTGATCTCAGCTCACTGCCTCCTCTGCCTCCCGGGTTCAAGCAATTCTTCTGCCTCAGCCTACGTAGTAGCTGGGATTACTGGCGTGCACCACCATGCCCAGCTAATTTTTGTATTTTTGTAGAGACGAGGTTTCCCATGTTGCCAGGCTGGTCTCGACCTCCCGAGTTCAGGTGATCCACCTGCCTTGGGCTCCCAAAGTGTTGGGATTACAGGCGTGAGCCACCACGCCAGGCCTTTCCTCCCAACTCTTAAGTGTTCCTGGGGAGGCGGGGACTTGAGGGCATTAGGAGGTGTCCTCCTCTTGGCCTAGAGGTTTCTAAAGCATCTCTCTGTATCTTTGAGTGAAGTGTGGCAGGAAAGGGTACTGAGGGCCTGCCCCACCCCCATGACTCCCACAGACAGAAAGTTGGGAACTTTTTTTTTTTTTGAGATGAAGTGTCGCTCTGTCACCCAGGCTGGAGTACAGTAGCATGATCTCGGCTCACTGCAACCTCCACCTCCCGGGTTCAGCAATTCTCAGGTCTCTCGGTCTCCTGAGTAGCTGGGATTACAGGCACGTGTCACCATGCCCAGCTAACTTTTGTATTTCTTGTGGAGATAGGGTTTTGCCATATCGGCCAGGCTAGTCTTAAACACTTGACCTCAAGTGATCCACCCGCCTCAGCCTCCCAAAGTGTCAGGTTACAGGTGTGAGTTACCACTCCCGGCAGAAAGTTGGGATTTTAACTGTACCTTTTAATTTGCTCCTGGGGCTGAGAGGAAGGAATGGTATTAGAGTAGTGTCTGAGACCAGGTGAGATTCGGTCAAGTGGTTGGGTCAGGGGAGGCAGCCACTTGCCCTGGAGGATCAGCCTCGAAGTATCGATCCAGCAGGGCCTCTACCTCTCCCTCCTCATAGTCCCACACCTGGATCCGAGAGCCATCTGCTGCTCCCCGGATCATGGCCGAAAGCACTGGAAAGGGGAGGGAAAGGTGAAGCTGCCTCCCATCCACACCCTCATAGCTCCCCCGGGAAGGAGTTCGGCTGGGTCCACAGAAATCCAAGAGGGAGGCAGGGGTGCTCACCTCTACCGAACTGTGGGCGGAACAGGCACAGGATCCGCTTGTTGAGGGCCACAGCCCGGCCCAGCTCATAGCCAACACCCAAGGATGGCTGTGTCACTTCTGCGACGACCCCTGGGAAGAAAGATGAGAGGAAGGCTCAGCATTGGAGGTGCTTGGGGTTCATAAGGGAGTTGACGGTGTAGGTGTGGTGAGGAGGGAAATCTGGGAGTCCCTTCTAGATGTGGAGGCCGGGATGTCCAGGGGAATCCAGCACTTCAGAGGAGTTAGGTGCTGGAAGGAGGGAGCGCCACTCACTGTCCGCCTGCTGCAGCCACGCCAAGTCCTGCTCATGGATGAGCCTGTCATCCCCAGCAGCCTCTTCCCCTGTGGTTGAGAGAAAGCTGGTTGAGGACATGCCTTATGCTGGCTCCCAGTAACGCCTATGCCCTTGCATGTCCATACCCACCCTGCTTAGGCAGGGCGGGAGCCTTGTGCTGGATAACCTGGCCCAACATGACAATCTCATTGAAGCAGCAAGGAAATGGAATAGCTACGAAAAGAAAAATTCAACCCTGTGTGTGGTGGGATGTGTGATGCAGGCTGAATGAGAACACAGGCAGCACTAACTGTGGATGGGAGTGATTGGGGAAAGGGGCATGGGCACTTGGCCAAAGGTAGGAGAGGCATCCTGGAGCTAGAGGGTAAGGATCTTGGGTCCCAGCCTCATTAAATGTTACTTTCCAGGATGGTGAGGCTCAGCCCACCGCATCAGGGCAGGACCACCGGGGAGCTGGTTAAAAGTACAGATTCCAGGGCTGGGCACGGTGGCTCATGCCTGTCATTCCAGCACTTTGGGAGGCTGAGGTGTGTGGATCACTTGATTTCAGGAGTTCAAGACCAGCCTGGCCAACATGGTGAAACCCCATCTCTACTAAAAATATAAAAATTAGCCAGATGTGGTGGTGGGCACCTGTAATCCCAGCTACTTGGGACAGGAGAATTGCTTGAACTCAGGAGGCAGAGGTTGCAGTGAGCCAAGTTCATGTCACTACACTCCAACCTGGGCAACAGACTGAGACTCCGTCTTAAAAAAAAAAAAAAAGTACAGATTTAGGCTGGGTGTGGTGGTTCACACCTGTAATCCCAGCACTTTGAGGCCAAAGCGGGAGGATCATGAGGTCAGGAGTTCAAGACCAGTCTGAGCAACATGGTGAAACTCCATCTCTACTAAAAATAAAAAAAATTAGCTGGGCGTGGTGGCAGGTGCCTGTAATCTCAGCTACTCAGGAGGTTGAGGCAGGAGAATTGCTTGAACCCAGGAGGCGGAGGTTGTAGTGAGTAGAGATCACGCCACTGCACTCCAGCCTGGGTGACAGAGCAAGACTCCATCTCAGGGCTAGGGTGGGGGGGGGGGGGGCCCAAGAAGTACAGATTGGAAGGCTTTATCCCATATGATCGGAACCTGCATTTTTAACAAGCTCCCTCAGATGACACTAAAGCCCTGGAGAGCCACCAGGTAGTGTGGCTATACCATGAACTAATGAGCCATTAGCTTCAGGGTCCTCACTTCCACAGGCCCTTTCCAAACCATCGTCAATTTGTATTGTGATTTTTGTCTTTTTAAAGAGGTCTCCCAGAATTGCATGAGGCCCAACAAATTGTGGGTCTGCTCTTGGGTAAGTGGAAGCCACTTAAGGTTTTTTCTGTGCAGAAGCACAAGCATTCAAGGCACAATTTTCAAACTGGAGGGATCAGCAAGATTCCAGACCAGCACGTCAAAGTATGCTTTGTAGAAATCCAGCCAGACTCAGTGGCTCACGCCTGTAATCCCAGCACTTTGGGAGGCTGAGGCAGGTGGATCACTTGGGCTCAGGAGTTCAAGACCAGCCTGGCCAACATGGCAAAATCCCGTCCCTATAAAAAATACAAAAATTAACCAGGTGTGGTGGCGCACATCTGTAGTCCCAGCTACTTGGGAGGCTGAGGTGGGAGGATTGCTCAAGCCCAGGAGGTGGAGGTTGGCAGTGAGCTGAGATTTCACCACTGCACTCTAGCCTGGGTACAGAACAAGACTGTCTCAATAATAATAATAACCCAGTAGCCAGGAGCAGAACACAATGGCTTGAAAGAGAACATGAGGCTAGCATGGGGGCTCACACCTATAATCCCAGCATTTTGGGAGGCTTGAGGTGGGAGGATCACTTGAGGCCAGGAGGTTGGGACCAGACTGGGCAACATAGTGATCTCTACAGAAAAATTGTGAAAATTAGCCGGGCATGGTGGTGTGTCCCTGCAGTCCTTGCTAATAGGACGCTGAGGCTGGAGGATCATGAGTCCAGGAGGTCAAGGCTGCAGTGAGCTCTGATTGCACCACTGCATTTCTTTTTTCTTTTTCTTTTCTTTTCTTTCTTTTTTTTTTTTTTTTTTTTGAGACGGAGTTTTGCACTTGTTACCCAGGCTGGAGTGCAATGGCGCGATCTCAGCTCACTGCAACCTCCACCTCCTGGGTTCAGACAATTCTCCTGCCTCAACCTCCCGAGTAGCTGGGATTACAGGCACGTGCCACCATGCCCAGCTAATTTTTTGTATTTTTAGCAGAGACGGGGTTTCACCATGTTGACCAGGATGGTATCCATCTCTTGACCTCATGATCCACCTGCCTCGGCCTCCCAAAGTGCTGGGATTACAGGCTTGAGCCACCGCGCCGGGCCAAACCACTGCATTTCAACCTGGGCAACAGAGGCCCAGCGTCAACAAAACAAAACAAAACAAAACCATGAGAGAAGATAATAGCGAGAACTGGGGTCAGCAGGATCTAAGAGAGTGCTAATGTCTTCACAGAAACAGGGGAGGCAGGCCCAGGGCGGTGGCTCACGCCTGTAACCCCAGCACTTTGGGATGCCTAGGCAGGCAGGTTACCTGAGGTCAGGAGTTCGAGACCAGCCTGGCCAACATGGTTTCTACTAAAAGTAGAAGAAGTAGCTGGGCATGGTGGCCCGTGCCAGTAGTCCCAGCTACTCGGGAGGCTGAGGCAAGAGAACTCGGGAGTGAGCCGAGATCGCGCCACTGCACCCAAGCCTGGGTGACAGAGTGAGACACCTTCTCAAAAAAACAAAAACAAAAAGTGGAAGGCAAGAGGATACCTTTCGTGTTGGGTGGGGGAAAATATTCCAGCGGGTGAGGTGGAAACGGAGACCAGGCAAAGCAGCCCAATCCACCTTCTTTCTGTTGCACCCTACAAACGCCCTGAAAGCAGCTAAAGACAGAGTTCTCCAAGAAGGAACCAAAGGTTAAGATGATGTCGAGACTGCCTCACACCCGCAGGCTTGCTGGGACCCAGGCAGTCGGAGCCCCCGCCCGTTTCCTTCTCCCGCAGAGGCGCTGGGTGGAACACTGGGGTAGGAGGGCGGGCTCCGGGGGCCAGGAGCTCAGCTGCGGTGGGGACAAGCCGGCCTCCGCCCGCCCAGCCCAGCCCGCCCCCCAACCCCGTCCCCGCAGCCCGTGTCCCCAGGACCTCACCACGCTGGCCCAGCTCGGCGGCCGCCACGTGCTCGGTGAGCACAGTCCCGAATCGCCGCAGCCGAGTCACGATCCGCTCATATAGAGCCCGGTCCTCGCGTCCGCCGCGGATGCTCCCGCAGAAGTACAGGGCCGGGCGGCCGGGCTCCCCCAGCTCCCCGTGTTCGCCGATCCCCCGCGCCCCGGCAGCAGCCATTCCCCATTCGCCCCCGCTCTTCCGCGCCAGGGGGCGCCAGCCCGCGGCCACGTGACCCCGCCCCGCCCAGCGCAGAGCGGGGCTGCTGAGTCCACACCTGTGGATTGGGGACGGCGAACGGGGAAGATCCAGCCGGGACCCTCTCGGGAGAGCACCCCTCCAGAACTTGACGTTCGGATGCCTAACACGCACCTTAAACTGACCTTGTCCAGGCAGAACTCTAGGGCTTCCCCTCCTCACCCGCTTCTAACACCTCCTCCCTGCCCCGCCGTCTTTCCCAGCTGCATCCTCCCAGCTGCTCAGGCCCAAGACCTCGGGGTCACGTGGATCGTTCCCCTTCTCTCAAACTCTGCGTCTCATTCACTGGCAACTCGTGTGGATTCCTCCTTCCAAATCTGACAACCACCTACAGGGCCACTACCCTGGTCTAAGCCTCCTCCCGGTTCTCCACAGCCTCCTAACAAGTCTCTCTCCTCGAGATGTTGTACCCCAGAGAGTCAAGGAATGCACCACTCTCTGAGATTAAATTATGAGTCCTTTATTAAGCCGGCGACCGAGAGGTGGCTAATGCCCCAAATTCCCTCTGCACCTAAGAAAAAGTTAGGTGGTCTTTTATACCCTAGTTTTAAAAGGGAGCGGGAACCTCGCTGAAGCAATTTTTTCACAAAAGCAGAGTAAGCAAAAAGTTAAAAGATAAACTGATACATGAGAAATAAAACAGTGCCAGGTGCGAGGGGTAAAGTTGTCACAAAAGACATACAACTTATAGATAATGGGCGCTCTGGGCGCTCACTGCACCTGCATTCCCAGGCTCTGCTGGTACCACTGAACTCCGCCTCTTATCCACAAATGCGTTCCTGGGTGCCCAGTGTCAGCCTTCCCCAGCTACACTTTTATATAGTTACATACTTAACGGTGAGAGAATAACTAAAATGAAGAAGCTAAGATGGAGTCTGTCTGGCTTAAGAAGCTAACAGAAGGCCTGAACAGCTTTTAGTCTGAGAAAGGGAGTTTTAGCTGGCAAAAAGCAGGTTATCACAGCGAGCTGCCAAAGTCAAACAGAACCAGGTCCACACACTGTGCGTCTGCCCACAAGGTCGGATTTTTACTGATGCTATTTGAATCACGAAAGCTAGGCACTACGTGGAGTTCCCGAGAAGCCACTTCTCTTTAGGAGCCCCCCACCCGTTCGCTCAAGGTAGTCAGAGCCATGAGCACGCAGGCTAGAGCCACTCACAGGTCAGACTGTATTGCAAACTATACGTAGTAGTATATGTAAGGATATACATGTTACAGGTTAAAATTTCACATCAAACCCAGGAACATTTAACATCAAGAGAAAAGGGGTTAACTAAGCAGTCCCAGAAGCGTGCTGAGGACAGAGTCCTGGCCTGACTGCGATGGCCGTCGAGGGCTTGCAAGAAAGAGTCCTTGATCTGGGCAGAGCCTCCGGAGGCAGACGCCAGGTGCTGGTCACCAGTGACAGCAAGACTCGGTCTGTTAAGGTGGCCGAGTGTAGCTGCTGTCCTGCTCATTTGATGGCCCTCGAGTCCTCCAATGAGGACTTGTAGTGAAGGGTGACGCCCTTCTCTGGTGGGTGTTGTCTCTATTGGTGAATGTCTGGACCCTGTTGGCTTGATGACTTTTGAAAGGCAAGATGGAGTCTTTTTAAAATTAATAAATATTTATGTATTTATTATTTTTCGACAAGGGTTCTGTTGCCCATCCTGGAATGCAGAGAGAGCCATGATCATCGCTCACTGCAGCCTCAAACTCGAGGCTCAAGGACTCCTCCCACCTCAGCTTCCCGAGTAGGGAGCACTACAGGCACTGGCCATTATACCGAGCTAATTAAAAAACAGCAAACCTGCTGTAGAGACGAGGTCTCCCTGTGTTTCCAGGGCTGGTCTCAAAACTCCTAGGCCCAAGCAATTCCCCTTCCTCAGCCTACCAAAGTAAGGGGATTACAGGCATGAGCGAATGTGCCCAGTAATGGAGTCTTTTTCTAAGATGGAATTACTTATGTCAAAGGTTCTCTATGCATCCCCCTCCTTCCCTACTACAGTCTGCTCTCCACTCAGCAGCTAGAGTGATCTAGGTCATGATGCTCCTCTGCTCAAAACCCTCCAGTGGTTCCCATCCCACTTGCAGTAAAAAACAGAAAACCTCACAGTAGCTCACAAGGCTCCAGATGATCCTGTCATCCTCTTACCTCCCTAACTCCAGCTTCTATGACTTTCACTTCTCTGCCACCTCACTGGCTTCCTGGCTGTTCTTTAAGCTCATCAGCCATGCCCTTGCCTCAGAGTCTTTGCATTTGCTGTTCCCTCTCTCGGGAACCCTGTTCTACCAGGTAGCTTCCTGGCTCACTCCTCGTTTCCTTCAAGTCTTCGTTCACACTTCGCCTTCTCTGACCACCCTATCCAATGTGTCAGCCCTTCATCCCCCAGTACTCCCTATCAGCCTTCCCTATCTTGCATTTTCTCCTTCTCGTGCACCATATAACTTACTAATTTTGTTTCGTGTTTTTCTATACCCAGTAGAATATTGTTTACTGCTGTATTCCTGGTGTCTTTCTCTCTCTCTCTCTCTTTCCCCTCCCTCCCTTCCTTCCTTCTGTCACAGCTCACTGCAGCCTGACTCTTGGGCTCAAGCAATCCTCCCTCCTCATCCTCCCAAATAGCTGGGACTACAGGCGAGTGTCACCATGCCTGGCAAAGTTTTTGTAGAGATGGGGTCTCACTACGTTGCCCAGGCTTATCTTAAACTCCTGGGCTCAAGTGTTCGTCCCACTTCTGCCTCCCAAAGTACTGGGATTATAGTTGTGAGCCACTGTGCCCAGCCTAGTTTCTAGAACTACGCCTGGCACATAACAAACATTTATTCAATATTTGTTGAATGAATGAGTGGTTTAAATGAGAGGATGAATTTGACAGCACTTCGTGGTCTGCTCAGCCCTGTAGTGAGTAGGCCGACAGAGGTGGGTATCTTCAGGGAGACAGGCAGGCACTCATTGCTCACCAGTACTGATTTCACCCTCATTCTATTATGACAATCACAAATATATGAGAAAACATTCAAATGGAACAAGAGACTGTGTAGTGGAAAGCAAGTCCCAAGACCCCAGCTCCATTCCCCAGAGGAAAGCACCATCAGTGTTCTCTTCTGTATTCTTCCTGAAAGATCACTATTAAAATACTGAAGCATAAGGCTGGGCGCAGTGGCTCACACCTGTAATCCCAGCACTTTGGGAAGCTGAGGTGGATGGATCACAAGGTAAGGAGTTGAAGACCAGCCTGGCCAACATAATGAAAGCCTGTCTACTAAAAATACAAAAATTAGCTGGGCATGGTGGTATGTGCCTATAGCACTTGGGAAGCTGAGGCACCAGGAGGTGGAGGTTGCAGTGAGCCAAGATCGCGCCACTGCACTCCAGCTTGGGCAACAGAGTGAGACTGACTCAAAAAAGAAAAAACAGAAATACTGAAGTATGTGATTGCAGAGAAAATGCAATAATATGTATATTTTTAATGCTAAGATACAAAAGGGAGACAGAGATTTCAGAGTATTTCTGCCTACTTCTGGGCCCAGCTATGTATACACGGACCATGGGGCAAACATGAAGACACAGCTGCGCACCTGTGATCCCCCAAGGGGTGCCCCCCTCCCTCCCCACACGCTCACACACACGCATGAACATACACACACAGATTAGGAAGGAGGCCTTATGTGCCAGTGGACTTGAAAAGCAACCTCCCCAGCACTCCTTGTCCCCACTCACACCTTCCCTCCTGTTCCCGCCAGAGACAGGGAACACACATGCACAGACACACACACCATTTTGTCTCTGCCTCTGTATCTTATAAGTAAATAAATAAACACATAAACCAGCCAATCCCCATCTCTTTAGGGGCCATACCTCTGCTCTTGCTGGCGTCTCTTTTCTACCTCAGGCTGAAAGGATGTTTTGTGTAGAAGAGTAAACGTGTAGAAGGGACATTTTGTGTTTCTCCAGATGGGAGACAAAGCATTGAGACTGGTTCTAATCCACTGTCGGTTGGGTGAGGATTCCGAGCTGCATGGCTTGCAGCCCAGACCTTCTGGCTCAGTGCAGAGAGGCCCATGTTGGAGGGACGGGGCACTAAGTGATAGGATGGGGAGTGAACGCAGTGGGGAGCCTAGCGAGGCAACCTGATGGGGAAATATCTCACCACGTGACAGGGGGCCAGTTTTTGTTGTTTTTTTTTTTTTTTTTTTGAGATGGAGTCTCACTCTGTCGCCCAGGCTGGAGTGCAGTGGTGTGATCTTAGCTCATTGCAACCTCTGCCTCCCGGATTCAAGCAATTCTCCTGCGTCAGCCTCCCAAGTAGCTGGGACTATAAGTGCATGTCACCATGCCTGGCTAATTTTTGTATTTTTAGTGGATTCAGGGTTTCACCATATTGTCCAGGCTGGTCTCGAACTCCTGACCTCAGGCTACCTTGGCCTTCCGAAGTGCTGGAATTATAGGCATGAGCCACCACTCCTGGCCCCAGAAAGCCAATCTGGGTTCCGTTACCATATCTGTGATCTTGGTCGGATCCCTTAAACCCTCTGAGCCTGTTTCCTCATCCGTAAAATTGGTAACAAATGTTATCCTGTCCTACTCACCTGGTTTGAGTATGGTACAATGAAGTATGTGAAGGCACATTGGAAATATAGGCTGGGTGTGGTGGCTCACACCTGTAATCCCAGCACTTTGGGAGGTTGAGGCAGGTGGATCACCTGAGGTCAGGTGTTTGAGACCAGCCTAGCCAATATGGTGAAACCCCATCTCTACTAAAAATACAAAGAATTAGCTAGGTGGGGTGGCAGGCACCTGCAATCCCATCTACTTGGGAGGCTGAGGCAGGAGAATCACTTGAAGCTGGGAGGCAGAGGTTGCGGTGAACCAAGATTGTGCCACTGCACTCCAGCCTGGGCGACAAGAGTGAAACTCCATCTTAAAAAAAAAAAGGAAAAGAAAACACAAAGTGCTCAGGAGTTTTTAGGGCAGTGAAATTACCCTGCATGATTCTATAATGGTGGGTACACGTCATTATATATTTATCCAAACCCATAGACAAATATACATGTTGTGGGAACTCTCTGTACTTTCTTTTTTTTTCCAAGACAGAGTCTTGCTCTGTAACTCAGGCTGGGGTGCAGTGGCTGATCTCAGCTCGCTGCAACCTCCCAGGTTCAAGCAATTCTCCTGCCTCAGCCTCCCTAGTAGCTGGGATTACAGGCATGTGCCACCACACCCGGT